AGTAGGCCACTTGCGCGACATTGGTTGCTAGTACCCACGGGTCATCTTTGTAGCTGATACTTTTGAGGTCCACGGTGGTTAGCCCATAACTGTCCACTGCAACCGCATTCGGTTTGACCCACTGGCGACGGAAGACGGTTATGTGTAGGTTTTGGCCGTAGTCAAGTTCCCATATTTCTTCAACTTGCCCATAGCATTGCCTCCTCTGGCCCGTGGACTCTTCTTCACCCTCGTATCGAACACCGCAGTTCTGTGCCGAGCTCTTCTTGTCCTTGTCTTTCGTGTGGAACCTGTAGCCCTGGACGTCATACCCTTGCCACGTGGTGATTTGGCTAGATGGGCCTAACACAAGCCTCTTAACGGTCTCCCCGTATCTTCATCAGGGCATCCTTCAAGGGGTATGTGTTGCTCTTTGAGCCACTCTATGAAATTGCTCTTGTGATGGTTCTGGACCCATGCCTCCGTGCGTTGTCCGTCATTAGCGGCGCGGATCTCTTCCAGGTGCTTTTCAATGTATTTCTCCATGCTCACTAACTGATGAAGGATGCTGTAATGAGCTTCTTGCACCGTTCGGTTTGCCACATCTTTGCATACTTTTCGGCCTGTGCACCCCATCCCTGAGGTTTTGCCTTCGTGGTGATGGACATGTAGCCCAATCACCCTCCCATCTCTTATGTACCTCATACACCAGTTCATGGCCTCCTCCGTTGTGTATGCCTCGATCATAGAGCCCTCTGGGTAAGCGCGGTTATGGACGTATCTGTTGAGGGTGGACATGAACCGCTCGTACGTCCACATCTGGTGTAGGTACATGGGGCCTAGTTGATGGATCTGATCGACCATATGCATCATTAGGTGTGGCATAATATCAAAGTAAGATGGTGGAAAGCACATCTCGAGCTGGCAAAGGGTCTCCGCGATGAACTCCTTCAGGGCAGGCAGCTCAGCCTTATCAATGACCTTCTGGGTGATGCGGTTAAAGAAGTATGACATTCGTGTGATGACCATCTTCACGTACTCTGGACGGATAGCCCTAATCGCAATTGGTAGGAACACCATCAGCATGACGTGGCAGTCGTGTGAGTTGTAGCTGGTCATTATGAGGTCTTTCATGGAGACCAGGCTCTTGATGTTGGAAGAGAAACCAGTCGGCACCTTGATACCCCTAAGCAACTTAACAAAAGTCATCCTCTTGTCTTGCGTTAGGTTGCAGGCCACACCCAGGATATCGACTTTACCGTTCTGAGGCGGTCCCGGGTGAAGGTCCGGCCTGATGCCCAGATTGACAAGATCAGTCCATGACTTGATACCATCCTTTGTCTTGCCCTTGATGTCCAGCAGGACACCGATCGTGCTTTCAAAGACATTTTTCTCCAGGTGCATGCAGTCGATGGCATGGGGTGTATTAAGTGTTTTCCAATACGACAGGTACTTGAAGAAAATTGACTTCTTCTTGAAAGGAACGACGGCGGGGACTTCCTCCGTCTGGTCTCGCTTTCGCTTCCTTGTCTGCTTGGTCCCCTCTTCAGGCGGCTTCTTCTTCTTTCCAAACTCCACCTGATTCATGTCCTTGACCATCTCATACACCTTTGTCCCCCAACTAGTCTACGTTGGTTGATCACGCTGCAGCTCGTCCTGATTGTCAAAGTATTTGTTCATAATACTTCTTCTATACTTGTGATTTTTGGCGAGGAACCGTCTATGCCTCGTGTACACCATCTTATTGGATCCTTAAGGTAAGTGTAGCAGGTCCCGTCGATGCAAATTACGCAGCCAGTCTTCCCTTTGATCTGCCCCGACAATGAGAAGAGACCGGGGTAATCGGTGATGGTGACAAAGATGATTGCTTTTAGTGTGAACTTCTCTTTGCGGGATGCATCCACCATCTGGACCCCAACATCAAATAGTATCTTCATTTTCTCCATGAACGGCTCCAGGAACACATCTATATCGTTGCCGGGCTGCTTCGGTCCGGAGATAAGCATGGTCAGCATAAGGTACCTACGCTTCTGACATAGATGGGGAGGTAGGTTGTACATGGTGAGCACGACGGGCCAAGTGCTGTGCGAGCTGCTAAGCTCACCGAACGGGTTCATCCCGTCGGTACTCAGCGCGAACCTAACATGCCTGGGCTCCTTGCCAAACTCCGGGTAGGCCTCGTCGAAATCCTTCCACTTCTTGCCATCGGATGGGTGCCGTAGCTTGCCATCGTCTTTCAGGCGGTCAGCTGATGCATGCCAGGACATGAGCTTGGCATCGTCTGGGTTCCCGAATATTGCACGCAGGCGATCGGTCACGGGCAGGTACCACACCGACAGTGCTGGACTTTTCCTGTGCGTGTAACCCTCTTCTTCATCGTCCTACTGAGGCGAGATCTGTTTGGCCGCACTGCTCTTATTTGCCCCCTTCTTGTTCTTCTTTCGACCACCCCGCAAGCCTCCCTCGTCTTCTGCATCCACGCGACAACCAACATTTTTCTTGTACCGACTAAAGCCGCAGTGCGGACAACTCGTCAAATTCTCATACTCATTGCCCTGATACAGGATGCAATGGTTAGGGCATGCATCAAACTTTCTAAGCTTCATCGCCACTGGCCGGATCAGCTTCTTGGCCCGATAAGTATTGGCGGGCACCTTGTTAGCCGTTGGGTACGTGGTGGCAAGGTAGCTTAACAACTCATTGAAGCTAGTGTCAGACCAACCATGATGAGCCTTCAACATCAACATATGGAGGTTAAAACGGAGCGTCGTGCACTCCTTCGGACAATCGCCGCCGTCCTTATAGAGAGGATCAACTGCCGCCTGCTTCAACTCTCTGAAATTCTCCAACCACTTTGGGCAACCCAACACAACGTCGTCTTCATCGAAGTGTTTGACTAGATCTTCAACAAGCTGCACATCCTCGGGTTGGCTCACAGTATCCTGACCATACCCACCGTCGCCAGCTTCGTCGGCCATGTCTTGCATTAGATCATCCACAGTGATGTAATCACGACAACTATTGTCACTGTCGGCTGGCGCAGCTGCTGCTGAAGATGATGAGGAGCCGGGTGCTCCTAAAGGATCTTTATTCACCGGTGGTGCTGTCGTCGTCGGCGTTGAAGAGCTCACTCCAGATGCACCGCCACTCGCACCAACTCTTTCGCCGTGAAATGTCCAGACTATGTAGCCCTCGACGAAACCATACATGATCAAATGAGTTTGCACCTCGCTGTCTCGGTGGGCTTTCAGGTTCTTGCAACGAGAACATGGACATATGGTTGTCATCCGCTTCAGTCTCTCACGGTGAGCTTTACCAGCAGCAATAAACTTCCTTAATTCAAAGAGGTACCGCGGATCATTCACTCTATCGATCCGGTACATCCATTCTGACCTATCCATCATACCTGCGAATATTATCCGTCACAATCAACATTAAATAAAGAATAATTAGGAGAAATTGATGATTTTTACGTCCAAAATCATGAAAAAGAGAGGAAATGACGATGTGAAAGATGAAGCATGCATCTATGATGAATCTAAAGTTAAAGAAATACATGACATCATTTTTTCCATTAAAATTGATCTAGATCTAGATCTAGATCTAGATCTAGAGAGAACTCTAGGTGATGGAAATAGAGAGAGAGGATGGAAGGAGAGAGGGAGAGCCTTTATGAACCTCTTATGATGTCCTCCTCCGTCAAATCCAAGCCCTTCAACTCAAATCAAAAGTTTCCTCAAATTTTAGGGCAAAGCCTCCCCCCATGAGTTTGAGAGAGGAAGACCCGTGGAGAAGATGAAGGGGTGGTGATGTGTATTTGTACAGGCTTTACCGCGGCGGACAGTTTAAAGAGCCTGCCACGGTAAATCGTATTAACCGTGGCGGGCGATTCATACCGTCCGCCACGGTAAATAACGATTTCCTGCAGCGGACAAGTAAGGTGGCCCGCCGCGGTAAACCCTTTTCCCGCAGCGGGCGCCTCGGTGGCCGGCCTCGCTGGCCGGCCACCGGTTAACCGTGGTGGGCAAAAGAGGTGCCCGCCACGGAGCCCATTTTGGCCACGCTGCGCAAATTGATTCTTGTAGAAGTGTTTGGCTAGATTTCGTTTTCATCCCTCAAAACTCCACAAAACCTTCAATATGGCGTGTCCTTGAGAGCAGTGGTTGCTTTGGCTGTCTCATCTCAACTGTTTCCTTACAGCACTGGAGCACCAAAAAGAGTTGTTCTTCAACATACTTTTGTTACAGGTTCGCTGCTTTTAGGTTCCCAGAAATGTAGCAAAAAAAATTATGTATCTCAATTTTGTATGGTGCAACCAAATTAATATAAAGAACTGAGACTAGCTAAGTTTGAGGCTTGGAGTCCTCTTCTGCTCAAATCTTGGTGCTTTCTTTCTTAGTACAAAAAGTCACCTAATTCATCATGGGTGGTCTTCTTTCCAAGTTTTGAATCAAGTGAAACAAAACTCTATTTCTGTTTCATGGTCATCATGTTCAATGTTTCATTGTTTAAAAAGCTGTAACGATTTAAATATTCATTTGATCCTTTGGAAGTCACTTTTTCTGGAGCTACTCTGCTTTGGACTTAAAATAAGTTCTCATTTATAATCGAGTCCTGGAGTCAGGTCTAATTTTCTTCTCCATGGAATAGTATAGGGTTTCAAACTTATTTCTCAGTTGCAAAATTTTTGGTGTATCAGTGGAAAAGATCCTTGTTTTTGGCCCCTGCTGCAAAAACATGTCCTCTTTGGGAACCTATTTTACAATTTATTCGACTGTAGTCAGAGGCTCTGAACATTTGACATTTGTAATTTGATGCCTTTAAAAATTTGACTTCTTCCATAGTAATCTATGTCACGAGCAGTAAAAGTTGTCTTAAGCATATTTTTGGCCTTCCCAAAATATCATTTGTTCTAGGTATTCCCATAACATTCCTGTGAAACATTATGCTTGATCTTTTTTTCAGATGGTAATAATGTTATAGATTCAAGCTATGGTTTCTCTGTAGTTGATTCTAACTCAATGGAGTTTCTTTTCAACAATGCACCTGAGGCCGCCAGATGGCTGAAGGATAACTCTGAGTTGTCTTTTGAAGAAGAATATAGGTCTGATAGAAGCTCTTGGTTGGTGAGTAAACATAATTGTATAGTTGGATAGTGTAACATCGAGTGACCTTGCAAGTTCCCATTGTCAATTTTCAACACATATTGTGCCTTTATGAATGCGCGCGACGAAAGTACATGAAGCAATATTCAGCAATACAGTTGTTTCATTTTGCAGGCTCTGTACCCTGTCCCGTTCTTGTTCTCTGGAAGTTTAAAATTTCAGGCACAAACTGAAGAGATTAGAAAGTATTACCAGCGTTTCCCTCAGTTAGCTGTTCAGGAGATCTGGGATAACAATGGGCAGCGAAGGGTGCATCTCAAACTTTCACTTGGGTAAAAGTTATATTTTATACATATTTATGAAACCTGTAAATGATACCCTTTTTTATATGCATACTTCAATTTATGATTTTATCTGTTTCAGTTCCTTATCAGAAATTTGGACCTCTGTGCTCAATATTACTGGGCCACTATCAAATTGGTCCTTTGCTGATAACATGCTCCCAGGTGGTTGCAATTATTTATGCTGTTTACTTTTGTTTGCTTCCATTAGACTCGCTGGATAATAATTTGTTCCGTTTATCCTCGTTAGTTCCTCAAACTGTAAGTGGTTGGGCCACCATCATATATTTGTCGACTCAGTGGAAAGAGCGATGTGGATTGGCCTTTCTGGTTGGAGGTAATGATAATATGCTCTGCGAGCAAACCCACGGGAATCACTGCCAGGCTTTTTTTTATTGATGTCTGAATTTCCATTAGTTCTTATGTTTACATGCACTCTTGTCCAAAATATAGGAAACTGAGTCACTAAGACCAAGTGGCCAATGTATACTGTAAAAACACAGCAGAGTTTTAGTTACTCCATTCCACTTTACCTGTCCAATTGTCTTAGGCACATTCTGAGGTATACATTCATGAGAGACTTCACACAGACTCCTGATATCAATTTGGTCTTCTGTCACATGATATGGGTTTAATAGTTATAACATTGTGAGGTTAAATTCATGAGAGAGTTCACAGACTCATGATATCAGTTTGGTCTTGTGTCATATAATCATGGGCTTTATAGTTATGTTTCACAATGTACTGCTTAGATTTCACACGAGCTGACAACATGTTCTCATCCATCCGGTACTGTTGTCCTCACTCCAACTTGGCCTACTGCCATGGACAATGATACCATGTTGTCACCTGAAGTTTTAAAGGAGATGTTTAGTGAAACATTAGAGCCACAAACCCGGGCTTATATAAAAACTGCTATGCCATGAATCAATATAGTAGGAGTCCCCCCTTTTTTCCTGACTAATCATAATATTTAGGTTGCCATTATAAGACATAATCTGCTGCTGATCTCTCTCTCTCTTGCTGCAGTAGAGTTGGCATTTGGTCAGCTCGGCTGTCCAGTGTCTACTACTGTAGCAGTATGGCAGTAGGCCATCTCTAGTACATTAGTTGGTAGCTATTACATCAGTCATGTCTTGATAGTGGGTTGATTTAAGCTTTGTACTGCTAGTACTAGGAGGAGTTGGTGTACCTTAGGAGTAGGTAGTTGGTGTACTCACCAACCACTATGTACCTGGTAGAGGTACTGGCACTTGTATATATATCACACCTAAGGCAATGCAAAAGAGCAGTTCAGTTTGCCACATCCAGAAGAAGAGCTTTCAGCCAGCGTTGGGCTTGTGTTGTGTGTGTGAGTTGTTCTCAATATCTTCTTCTACCTCTAGCCATAGTGAGTGACTGTGCTGGTAAGCGTACTGCTTACATGTGCAGGGCAGCCGAGGCACCAACAAGTGGTATCGGAGACGTACAAGCGCCGTCGCTGGACTAACCGTTGGCAATGACGGACGGTTCGGAGATGGGCGACAGCAGCGGCGCGCTGCCATGGCTGCTCAGCCATGACAAGAGGTCGTTGTGCGAACGGTGCGTGAGGTCAGCGGCACCAGTTGGCCGACGCTGACTCGTACCAACTATGGTGAGTGGACGGTGACCATGAAGGTCAAGCTCAGAGCCCGACGGCTCTGGAATGCCATTGACAACGGCACCGACAACGAAGAAGACGACATGTCAGCGTTGGAGGCAATCCTCGCTGCTGTGCCAGTGGAGTACATGGAGCCATTGGGGGTGAAGAACACTGCTAAGGAGGTGTGGGAGGCCATTGTAGCGATGTGCATCGGCTCCGACCGCGCAAAGAAGACGAGGGCCCAGCTGCTAAAGTAGGAGTACGCCAACCTCAAGTTCAAGGATGGTGAGTCGGTGAAGAACTTATCCCTCCACCTGCAGTCGCTCATCAGCAAGCTGAGGAGCCACGACATCACCATCGATGAAGAAGAAGCGCTCTCCAAGTACCTCCACCCCATGCCGGTGAAGTACATCCAGATCGCTCTCTCCATAGAGATGATGCTGGACTTGTCCACCCTCACCATTGAGGATGTGACAGGCCATCTGCGGGTGGTGGACGAGTGCATAGAGCAGGCCACAACAACGACGGACAGCAGCAAGTTGCTGCTGATAGAGGAGTGGGTTGCCCGAATGAAGGAGAAGAAGTCTGGGGAAGCCTCCTCCAGCCGTGGTGGCGATGGTAAGCGCCACGGCAAGGCTTCTTCGGAGAAGAAGAAGAAGAAGGTCAACCCCAATCCCTGTCGGCGCTGCGGGAAGACGGGCCATTGGGCAAAGACTGCCCAAATCGCAAATAGGAGAAGAAGGCTGAGGCTCATTTAGCGTAGACTGATGACGATGATGAGGCCACTCTCCTGATGGCGATGTTCTATGCACTGCATGACATTGAGGTCAAGGAGAAGGGAGAGGTGATGTCGGTGGAAGGGCACAACAAGGCTCTAAAGGCTGTAAACCTTGACGAAGTCGGCAGTGAGCAGGAGCAGCAGTGGTACCTAGACTCTTGCGCCAGCAACCACATGATGGGCTCCATGGAAGCCTTCTCTGAGCTCGACGGCAACGTGACCGGCATGGTGATGTTCGGTGATGGCTCAAGGGTGGCGATCCGAGGGCGTAGCACCATCATCTTCAGGTGCTAGAACGGCGAGCACTACGCGCTGATGGATGTATATTACATCCCGCAGCTATGTTCAAGCATCATCAGCATTGGCCAGCTGGATGAGCGCGGCAGCGAGGTACTGATCAAGGACGGCATCCTCAGGATCAGGGACCGGGAGCAGTGGCTTCTTGCCAAGGTGAAGAGGTCCTAGAACCGGTTGTACCTGCTCGACTTGAAGGTGGAGCAGCCCATCTACTTGGCTGCACGGCACACGGAGGAGCCATGGCTGTGGCATGCCCGGTATGGCCATCTCAGCTTCGACGCTCTTGGTCGACTAGAGAAGATGGTGACTGGGCTGCCTCATATCGAGCATGCAGGCGAGCTGTGTGACAGCTGCCTGGTCAGGAAGCAAAGAAGGTTGTCGTTCCTGAAGACGGCGAAGTACCACGTGGCAGAGGCCCTCGAGCTGGTCCATGGTGACCTCTGTGGGCCAATCATGCCAGCGACGCATGATGGGCGCAAGTACTTCATTTGCTGGTGGATGACTGCAGCCGATTCATGTGGCTGCAGCTTCTGACCAGCAAGACCGAGGCAGTAGAAGCGGTCAAGAAGTTCAAGGATGCGCGGAGGTAGAGAGCGACAAGAAGCTGTGCGTGCTGTGGACTGATCGCGGCGGCAAATTCACTTCAGTGGAGTTCGCTGCGTACTGTGCAGATCAGGGTGTGGTGCGATACCACACCACGCCGTACTTGCCATAGTAGAATGGCATGGTGGAGCGGCGGAAGCAGACGGTGGTCGGCATGGCTCGATCCATGATGAAGGCCAAAAGCATGCCAGCAAAGTTCTGGGGAGAGGCAGTGACCACAGCGGTGTTCATCCTCAATCACACGCCCACCAAGGCCCTGAAGGGCAAGATGCCGTTCGACGCTTGGCATGGACGCAAGCCGAATGTATCCTTCCTCAGGACATTTGGCTGCATCGGCCATGTGAAGAACACCAAGCCTCACGTCGGCAAGCTGGAAGATAGGAGCACGCCGATGGTGCTCCTGGGCTACGAGGAGGGCACCAAGGCGTATCGGCTCTATGATCCCATGAGAAGCAAGGTGGTGATCTCTAGGGATGCAGTGTTCGATGAGATGGTGGCCTCGGACTAGGAAGGTCTGGGCATGGGGGAAGCTGGCAGCTTGAGCAGTACCTTCGTCGTCGAACACTTAGTCATCCACGGTGGTGGAGACGCTAGAGAAGAGGTGCCAACCACCCCAGGAGTGGAGCCGACCACTCCAGAGGGGGTGCCGAGTACACTAGAGGTGCTGACCACTCCAGCAGTGGATCCGACCACTCTAGGAGTGGTGCCGAGCGCTCCAACAGTGGAGCCGACCACTCCAGGAGTGGTGCCGAACGGTCTAGGAGCGATGCCGACCACTCCGGCAGAACAGGGAGGCCAGGGACCACCGATCGAGTTCACCTCCCCTCCGAGTGACATCAGCGAGTTCGTGGATGCCTTCCACGACAGCAAGGAGGTCCGGTTGGCAGCCGATGAGGAGTAGCCAAGTCCAGCCATGGTGAGCGCACACAAGCAGTCTCCACCAGTAGCAGGGCACTCACCTCCACCACAGTCCCCTACGACGGTAGGATAGGGGACACCTCCACTGGAGTTCGCCTCTCCACCCACCGACATCGATGAGTACGTGGACACTTTCCACAACCGTGAGGAGGTCCGGTTCAGGCGGGTGGACAACATCGTCGGCGAAGGGGGAGCTCCTTGGTTGGCCAGTCATTTTCTCGACGACCTAGAGCTGCTCCTTGTTAGTGCAGAGGAGCCATCGATGTTTGCAGTGGCTGAACATGACGTCAATTGGCACCGCACGATGTTGGAAGAGATGAAGGCCATCGATGACAATGGGACATGGGAGCTAGTGGATCCACAGGTGGGCTGTAGGCCGATTGGATTGAAGTGGGTCTACAAGGTGAAGTGGGATCAACATGGCGCCATTGTCAAGTACAAGACTCGGCTGGTCACCCGCGGCTTTGTGCAGAGGGAGGGCATCGACTTCAAGGAAGTCTTTGCTCTAGTGGCACGAATGGAGTTTGTTTGCTTGCTGTTGGCCATGGCAGCAGTGAAGGATTGGTGCGTCCACCACCTCGACGTTAAGTCTGTGTAGAACGCCAAGCTCGACGCCACCTTGGGTGAGCTTGGGTTCACTTGCTGCACCACAAAGCATGCGTTGTACATGCGGCCACGTGGGAAGGATCTTGTCGTCGGTGTGTATGTGGATGACTTGATCGTCACTGGAGCGTGGGCAAAGGACATCGACGGCTTCAAGCGCGAGATGACTGCTCGT